TTTTTTTTTTTTTTTTTTTTTTTTTTTTTTTAACATTTGCCTTTTTCTTTGGGCAATTTATCTATCCAACCTTGGGGGTCAGGAAATTCATCATTACTTACCGTTCTCGGTGAATCAATTGGAAAAAATTTCCCTTCTATTTTCCTTCTCTTTACCTTTCTCGACTCAACCACACAGCGACACATATACAGTTTTCTGCATATCTGCACACTCCTTGCAGAATCTTTGGGGTAGCTCACTGCAGGCAGGGATGCTGACTGGTGCTACCATCATCAAACAAACGCCAGAATGGAGTCGAGCAAAGAGCCAGAGCTTACGTGATGAGTGGACGGGATTTGGTGGGGTGGAAATGGCAAATGAATCTTGCACTGAAGCTAGTCAAGAATGAGGTGGTCAGGGTTGGGACTAGAGGCAGGAGGATTTTTTTTATTTTACTATTTTTCCCTCTCACTTTTTGTTTTCTCGGGCCTCCCTCAATCACTCCACAAAAACCCATTGCAGATGGGAGAGAGATCCACACCATCACGACGCGCCTTGCCGTTTGAGAATGAACAGAGCTAAAAAGTCTGAGCTCCTTGACTTCCTTTCACACACACACCCAGGTTAGCGTTTCGGGTCAGGCTGCACTACTACTGTTGAAGGTAACACCCCCTTGCCTCCAGGCTGCCGTATGGAGTTGATGGCTGCACTGCCTTCTTGGCATTCCTGCAGATCCTGACGTGGGTGGTCCAATCACCACCGAAGCTCCGCTCTGCACGACCACCCGTCAGGCCGTCTTGCGCCTTCAGAGCATCACGACGGAGTCGGGTTCCCTGACTTCGGATTCGAGAAGCCCTTTGACTTTTCCCCCCTCGGGTGAGGTTTATCACGGGTAAGACAATGTGTGAGTCGGGATTGAGGTCCCAGAGGGCTGGAAATCTTCAAGAGGCGCCGCCATGCTACCATGTGTCCGCGAGAATGGAAAACACGTCGCGATGAAAGCTGATGTAGGTGATCATGGATTGTAGACTAGGTAGCAGTGTTTAAACTTAAGCAGCCCATAGGCCCATGGGTTATTGGCAGGGTACTAGTTCAGAAGTTACCATGTCCAGATGTGCATACCTCCAGCAGTGATGTGCTTGTCCTGTCCTCCGTCATAGAAGGATGGTACGTACCATTGGATGTACAATATTATGAAATTAAACCCTTCATACCCAAATGCATAGAAAACAAGTCGAGGAATGGATTTTTATTTTTTTTTATTTTTTTTTGACTACCTTTTCATTTTATTTTAATATCCGCCAGTGCTAAATTAGGACAAAAAATCAAACAGATCGAGTCCAGACACCACGAGGCTTGTCGCCACAACGGGAATTGGCGCAGTATTCTAAAACATTATAGTTCAGAAGCTCTTGCATCAGGTGCTCGTCCTACAAAAGCAACAATTCCAGTCCTCTGTAGGGCCAGAAATTCTGAATTTTCCCTTTTCGAAGAATCCGCCCCCCGGAAATTGATCTGGGTATCATAGTGAGATTAAATTGGTTGTATGATCAATTCCTACGCGGCGCATGCAGACTTTCACAACATCCTTACCCATCCCTCCATACATACTACTTGCAGACCTCCAGCGAAAAGAGATATATCACTCCTTCCTTCCTGCCCGAGGGATTTCTTTACCGATTCCATAGCCTTCGTCCTGCAGCATTTTGTCATTACAAGCGCTTTGCATTGCAGAGAGTTGCCCCCCTTACCTGGAAAATTCCTTTGAATGTTCTGTTGCGGAACGTCGCATTGATTCAGTGTTGTGGTGAGTTGAGCTCTTTTCTTTTACTTTTTTTCATTTTCTGTTTATTTTTAAAATTTCCTTATTTTCCCTGAGTTTCTTTCCGATTATGGAAGTTTTCTTCCCCCTTTCGTAGGGGGTTTCCTTTCTTTTTCTAGTCCACATTCCTCGAATGTGTCATGTCTGGAAGGAATGGAAGGTTCGGCAGCACGTAGTGTGGCATAACGATAGACAAACATCACATCCAGAGACGAGATTGAGAAACAGACGCCAGACTCCACTTGGAATCGATAACGATTTTTTATATTCTTTATTATTCTTTATTATTTTTATTTTTATTTTTTTTATTTTTTCACTTTTCAATGTTCCCTACACCATCACCATAACTACGACATGAGATGTTGTGTTGCAAGTTGCGATTCGCAAGGGGATCCACCTTTTTTCCTTTTTTTTTTTCCATTTTCCTTTTTTTTTTTTTCCCAGTGTCCACTTTCCCTTCTCAGGATTGACTTCCAGGACGGAGATCAATTTCGATCCTCCACTGACGAACACGATCCATTTTCACAATTCCCCACCACAAGAGTATCCAGATCCTGTTTTTTGTATGGGTCATGACTTCCAAGAGAGAGAGAGAGAGAGAAAGAGGGTCAAGACTCAGAAGCCTTTCGTTCTATTTCCCTACAAGACGATCTGAGAATATCGCATATCTCTGTACAGCGGATATGACGTGATCTGCCCTGTTGGAGCATGTACCATCAATCCTTCGTTCATTCGGTTGATTGCTTTGGCCCCAATTCTTCTTCATTGATCTTTCTTTTATATCGATCTATATTCAATCGATACAATTTTTTCCCTCCGTCTCTCTTTCTTTTTCCTCTCTATCTTCTGCCGTCCTTCTTTTTCAGGCAGGAAACCAGAAACCGAGCCAGCAAAGGTTAGTGACCGTACACACATTCTCTCTCGCTCTCTCTCATTGGCATCATCGCGCGGGCCAAATCCAGGGATCTGAGTGGCTCTCTATCTCCGCCTACCTCGACCTGATAGGCCAAGCGCTTGATCGACCGGGAAGTTAGTCGTCTGTGATTTGTGGCGGAAATACACGCCTGTGGGTTCGCATGGATCCTTTGGCTCGTCTCCTCAACCGACCAACGTGGATGCTGTGTCTGGAACTCTGGGACCCTCTTTCTCGCCCTCTCTGTGTCTTGTACCTGTGGGCCCAAACCACACCCACACACACACGCACCACTCACCCCCCGGGTTGCTCGACGCTTCCGTGCAGGATTCTGAACTCTCTGGAAGGGCTTCTGATCCGCAGCATCACATCACCCCGTCCACCTTCCCGCCTGCCTCGTTTCTTATTATTTGAGAACCACTCAACCTCCCTTTATATCTCTTTTTCCCCCTACTTTCTCTCCTCTCCCTGGTGTCGTCATAATTATCCTTCTTTGTCTGCACTGGGTGTCTTACTGTTTTGTCTTTTTGTCTTCTTCTTCATTTTCGACTCTCTCCCCCAAGACTCGTTACATGTTCCATCCATATCTCGGCTGCGGCACACGACTAACCAGTCCATTCTCTCGATAACAGATCTCACCCTTCGTTCACTGAGATCTTTCGCGCCTCCCACCACCCCACACTTACCTTGGTCCTATTTTAATTCCAGCGTTCCTCATCCCTCCCGACGCTGTCTCCGAACGCCCCGAATCGGCTTCTTTCGTTACACGTCCCGTCCCCACGGCTTCTTACATCCAGCCCCCGCCGGTTCTCATTGGCAACCGCCTGCTCCCGCTGAGTCAACATAGGCTGAAACCTCTCCCCTCGCCATTGACCCGTCATTTCCGGCCAGGGACACCCAAGCCCTATCAGTACCTGCAAAGTCGTGAGGAACAATCCGCGGGCTCTTCCCGAAGTTCGCATCAACCCGGGCTGGGAAGGAATCAGGGTGGCTCAACGTACATTGAAACGTTCCAAAAAACCTCGCACGCTGTACGCGATGCTCAAAAAGAAGACTCTATACCCTCCTCTCCACTTCTGGCATAGTACTCCCACTTCCACTCCTGAACTCTCTCCCACATCATCGTCTTCGGACAGTGAGTCAGACGAGGACATGGACCCGTCTGGTTCACGTCCGTTGAGTCTGACCGTTCCGGCGGGCGCATTTTGTCCCATGCGTCCAACATTGGATGAAGTGCTCGCAAACACGGCACCCGCTCCTTACACCCTCAGTGCTTTTATGGCCTACCTTTCCCAGAACCATTGCCTGGAAACGTTGGAATTCACTCTCGAAGCGAAGCGGTACCGGGAAACGTACGACACTCTCAGCCAGCAGTTGAGTGAATATCCTATCGTCAGCGACTGTCCGGAGAGCCAACACCTGCGGATGCTTTGGCAGCGACTTTTAACGGCCTACATCATTCCCGGATCTCCCCGCGAGATCAATGTCTCCAGTGAAGTCCGCGACGATATCCTTCGACAGGCTAATTCGACCATTCCCCCTTTACCCGAGACCCTCAGTGCCGCCGTTAAACTCGTTCACGAATTAATGGAAGAGTCAATCTTCCTACCCTTTCTGAATGCTCACTCCGCTAGCGCCCAGGTTGTACCATTGGGGGAGCCGCTATTTCCGCAGGAGGATGAGGTGACCGTGGTTTCCGGGCCGAGTCTCGACGAACACGCCATGAAGCGCGCCCGCTCGAAGGGACGGCGACTGTCTCCGCGATCTTCGAAGGATTTTGGATCTCCGACTTACTCCTCCGGCCGCTCAAATTTCTCCCTTAGTGCCATGACTTCCATGGGCAAATCCAGCCACCGGCATTCCAGTCACACTTCTAGCGGCAGCGGCGACTGCTCGGCTGGTCTGACGGATGACTCTGGCAGTCTACAATCCCTGAGCGCCGGCGAACCGATGACTCCCCCGACGACGCCTCCATCTAGCGATGCCCACGGTCTGCATCTGGCTCACAGCCCGAAGCAGCGCACCGATAACCCATGGAAGAAAATGGGGATGAAATTGGGCTTCAAGAAGCGTTCGAATACCGGGAGCTCGGGGAGCAACAAACTGTCTGGCATGGACGAATGACTTCCCGTGTGTCACTTATTTCAACATCTCTTCCACCTGATCCGTGCCTGTGGCACTACACTACGACCGATATCTAAACTGCGGGGTTAATGGTCATAGTAACCCCCATCATCTCTTTTCTCTTTCAACATGTGATAGAACGACACGACCTGGTTTGCATATTGTGAACTGCATCCGATGATTGATCTCTTGGTTATTGAGCCTCATTCGCATTGACTTGGACATGAGTTGACGGTGTAATGCATGGTGCATTTTTTTTTTAGTATATTTTGGGAGCATTGTCATAGCAGGCGTTTCGAGTGATTATGCAGTGAGCGAGCATTTTCTTTGTTATGTTTCAAAACAAGATAGAATACGGTCCCAAGACGGATGGGCGGTCATTTGTGAGGCGTTACTGTGTTGGCTTCTTCCTTCGGGCGACTGGGGATTTTCGCCCTTTGTTTGATTTTAACGCATATTTGCTATTGTTATGTCCGGCATGATTGTGGGCTGCATTGGATTGGCTGCATTATCTACCCTCTATGTATGATTTAACATTTTACCTTCAACGAGAGATACCCATGGGTTCTTTGAGCAAACTTATTTCCATCGTACGTACACGAAGCCACCTAGACACTATTCATGAGGACTAGCCCAACTCCTGTAAATCACAAACAGATTCCAATATCGAAGCAAATCCCTGTCACGAGATATCAATCTTCCAACCTTAAAAGTCTACCAAGAAGTCACTTCCATGGAACATACATATTTCTAGTCACGGATACAAGTAATCATCAAGTATGGAACGGGTTATTTTAAACCACCTGCCGAGTAGCTACCAGGTACAGATCAAGAGCCACAACTTTATTCTCCAGGTCTTGGGGAAGCACACTGTTGATCATAAAGGCATCGAATGCATGTCCTAGAAATTAATCTTATGGGTTTAGATTATAATAAGAAAAGCCTCTTCATCAATCAACGGTTGTGTAGTGTAATGGTTAGCACCCAGGATTCTGATTCCTGTAATCCCGGTTCGATCCCGGGCACGACCTTTTCCTTTTTTGTCTTTATTTTCTTTTTCATTTGTTCCTTTCGGTCAGGTCACTCTTGTTCTTGTTCTGTATGTCGTTGTGTGTTAATTTTGTTGGGGTTATTCCGTCAGTGGTGGGATTGTGTTTATCTGGGTTTCGGGTAGAGTGTTTCATTTAGACATATCGTCTTCTGTGGTCTGTTCTTTGCGTCCTGGCTAGCTCGTACATGGACTATGGTTTTGTGTCATGTTGGGAATTGGTATATGGAGAAAGAAGGATGGAGTATATATTTCTACCGGCTCTTGTGTCATAGTCAAGTCTCACAAGCAACCCGCCGTCCAGACCTTGTTTCCAATGCAGCAACGTCCAGATCCCATCCTGCCTGTGTTAGAGCCGACATGTACTGATCCATACGAGACTTCTCGTTTAGGAATGTCAATGTCTCGGAGATTGTGTACGTGATATACTCTACCTCCGTGCTGTCTTGCGTCCGCTTCTTCTCCGCAGATGAGCATAGCACTCGTGCAGCCAGTAACGCGTGCATCCAGGCTTTGAGCTGCGAGTGGGTCGTGCTACTCGTTTTCAGGAGGATTCTTGCGTCCCAGGAGTGGCGGTTACGGTGCAGGAACAACAGATAGTCTTCTGAACTGAAGAGGGAGGAAAGGTGGGACATGGGCGTTGATGTTTTGAGGGAACCGGATCCCGTGCGTGTCGCAGACGGCGCGAGGAATTGCTCCAGTGAGACTCCGATACGACAGGTGCCTACCCTATGTTGCGTTGATAGGGCAGAGAACCATCTTAGAATGCCATCCGTCTCGAAGACCCTCTCTTGCTTGGAGACTTGGGCTGGGGTTGGTATCTGCCATTGTGTTGCTCTGTTATGCTTGGGGGTTGGGTGAGCTCGATCGGTGGGATGGAAGTTCGCAATGTCGAGGTCCGTGTCGGACTCGAGCAGCGTTGAGAAGACGATGTTTGCTCGTTGTCTGTTCAGACTGGTCATTTGCACGGAGCGGACAGCAGCGTAGTTGAGACTCAGATGCATGGTAAGAAGCATCAATAGAGAGATCCAGGTTGCGGTATAGCTCGTAACGTGAGACACGACAAATGATCCAACCTGCGCTTTATCAGCCCGGCACCGCGAAAGAGAATGTTTGAGTATATCTTACCAGCATTCCAATAAGGGAGATGATAGTTTCTTGTGAGGAGTCTTTCTGGGCAGGAGATCAGTGCTTGGTATAGCCTTAAACACAGCGAGCAGAACGTACGGCGTTAACCTCTGCGAGATTCCCCCACCGAGAGAAATGCGCACTCAAACTCGCCTTGGAGCTTCCTCCTGCGACGCCACACAGAGCTCGTAACACACCTGCTGTACTGAGAACAGTCACCCGACCAAATCCTGCTGGGACCATCGGGGAAAGACAGTCCAGAATCATTGCAGCATCATTGAATACATCGGCTGCAAGGCGGTACATTTTGCATTCTGGCTCCAGGGCAGTGCCAACCCTATGCGCAAACAGAATGGTTGCAATTCGGCCAGATGTGTCTTGAAGGATGTGGAGCAGAAGGGCAGCTGTCGGGGAAGCATCCGCATTGCCCACTCCAACACCTGTTCAATGGCCGTTAATAAAGTCGCGGTAGCCCTGAGCTAAAAAAAAACAAAAAAAAAGCAATATCATTACCTTGTAGTACTGCTCTTGAAGATAGGAGGCCAGCAATAGAACTACTGAACGCTTGAAGCGAGTCCTTGGGTATTGATGAGTTAGTGACGCTCATGATCCCTGTTTTGGCGACAAAACAACGTAGAGAAGACAAATTCAGACTCGTTGCTGGCTACGAGGCAATCATGTATGGTATAGACACGATGCAGTACTCACGAAGATTTGATACCTGCGACCTGTATCAGCGGTGCTCATATTATAGTCGCGTAGCGGGAAATGATTAGGGCACGAGATAACCTACGGGACATAATCATCACTGACGCTGTGGGGATATCCAGCAGGGAGAAACACGTCGACCAGGAGGCTTTGGAGAGAGAGCAGAGACCATGACTGGGGCTTGGAGGAGGGGTGCTATACGTTATCAATTGAGTGGCCAAGAAAATATTTTTTGTTGACATAGAATGAGATATCCCAATAAATTCAATGGAGCCATATAGTTATATGGTGATCCTCAGTGCTGATTGTGCTGACAGTATTCATGAAAGGGGGGTCAATATCCATTGAGCTTGAGGCTCTCTCGTATCCCCCATACATTCAAAGTCTAGATAAATGTCTGGAATTCGAAATAAAAAAGAAACATACTATCACATCCAGTCGCCCTGTAGTCTTGCTATCGTTCTTATCATGATGAGGAAGATGCGTCGACTGATCCCCAGCTCCGCAGTAGATGTAGGTAGCAGTAGGGTTATTGACCTCGTCCACTTCAGTAAAAGTTACAGTGCCGTTGGCATCTGAAGCCATGTTTTAACACTTGCCCCCGGATCTTGACTGAAATATTCAGATATCAAGAAGACAAGAAACCGACGCGATTGGATGTGGTATGGAGTAGTTGAGGTTTGTATGTCATTTAGGAAACGTGGTTGCTCCTTAGTCATCTTTTTTTGGCCTCATGCTTAAATCAAACGTACCACCGTCGTACAAAACAAACGTGCTGTTAGTCTGTTTTCATAGTCTATTGAATGGAAAGTATTTCGAAAATTTGGATTTATTGAATTTGTGATTGATTGAGCCATCCAACACCTTGTCCTCTTTGAGCCCCCGTATGGTACCGAAGAAGCCATTAAGAACCGAAGTCTTAGGAACAAATGAAACCATCTATGCACGAATGTTTGTAAAGCTGAACATTCCGCAGTCAGACATCAAGACGATAACACCCCATATAGCACGCCCATATAAAACAAAAAACCGCTAAGGAAGAACAACCACCAGCGCCATGGTACGAATAAATGATATCACAGAAAAGCAGCAGGGGCCGGCCAGAGACTTCCCCGATGAAGATTCTCCTGGACCCATCAGGTGCAAAGCTCCCAACCCCTGCTGACTAATAATGTTAGGGTCTACGACGACGTGAGAATAACCCAGCCCCACGGGCTATCCGGATGTTCTTCGCATCGCATCGAAGACATCGGAGAGCTACTTGCGTCGTGTCTCCGTTCAACAGTGACCCTCCAAACAAGCGAGTACCCCAATCATCTCACTTTTATCGTTGTGATCGTCTTCATTGAATCATCCCTCATTCATATACGCAAATGAGGGCTTAAGCGAAGAGACTGGCACCACCAGTCTCGACGGCTTCAATCTCAGCCTCGCTCCATGGAAGACGCTGGAATCGAGGAGGAAGCTCAGCACGGTCGAAGTATTCTCCCTGCTTGGGCTGAATGGGGCCCAAGGCGGAACCCGAGCTACGGCCGATCGAGCCCTCAACGAACGAGCCGCGGCTCAGAGGACCGTGCTGCTGGGCCTTAACACGGTACGCAGCGAAAGAGTCAGGGAGGGCGCCTGTAGGAGAGGCGGGGTGAGGACGAGGAGCGTGGTCAATAGCTTCTGGATGAAATGGGTTAGTTGGGATCCAATGGCTCTTTTTACCCGCAGTTCGGGAAGGGAATTGAGGCACATACGAGGCACAGAGCGACGGCCAAGGAAGCGAATCAGAGGAGTCCGGGCAGCGGAGCGGAGAGCAGCAGTGGCGTGCATTTTGAAGATATGGTGTAAGAGAGAGATTAAAATTGTTCAGAAGGAAGAATTTTTGGTTGAGGCGAAGAGATTGCGCGAGAATTGGGGGGTTCCGCTATTGCCCGACGCGACCAAGGTAGGTAATTATTAAAGTTGTGACGTTTGAGGTTAATCGAATTTTGACAGTCTCCTGGGATTGTCTTCGAGAGGGTCTCGGAGATGCAACGAGAGTATTATATACAGTGGTCGAAAGACTGGAAGACTGGACGCGAGGGTGAGGAGAAAAAGAGAAGAGGAAAGTGGGAGGACAAAGTAGGGAGGAGTAGAAAAAGGCTTGGGAGAGCGTTCGGCGTCGGAGCGGAAGCGAGGGCAGAATTAGCGTCGTACTGGAGCGCGGGTGCAATTGATAAGCTCCTCGGTGGGTGGCCCGGAGAAGGATTACTGTAGGAAATTAGTAGGTCGTATGGTAATTTACTCGGAGTTACCTGAAGAATACCGATGATAGGTGGCACCCTCCATATACCACTGCCGTCCCTCGTGTACCTACTAGTACGGGTACGGAGTACGGTCCTTACTATCGACGTACATAGGTGGTACATCCATACATACCTCGATTGCCGACAGAATGCGTTCCACTCAGGGTTTCCTTCCCCAAACTAAACTCGGTGGGATGACTTTCCAATGACAGAAGATCATTCGGCGATGGGCTCAAATCATGCAATCGTCGGTCATTGATAACCTTCCTTCCCCAGAATACTATTGCCTCTCGGGTCCGATCTTTTCCCAAGCCGCCATCCCGGTGAAGCCGTTTTTGCGTCCCTGACAGGTACTCAGTGGCCTAAGCTTATGCAACTCCTCATGAACCCTGCACCATCAGCGGTGCATTTGCGCCTCCTCTTCCCCTCATCAGACCACATTCCTCGATTATTTATCTCTGACTCTCGGAACTCGTTCCCCGCACCCCGAGAAAAAAAAGAAAGAGCCTTGCAGCTACCAATTTACCCTGTTAACTAGTCCTAACTAAAATAAGCCGTTTTCGGTTTCATTCTCGTCTTCTCCAACTTGACGTCCTTTTGTTCTCCTCACGGGATTCCTTTCCCCTTTGAATACCCAAACAAAAGGGTACCAAGACTTTGACCCTCCATGATCGGAGATACCATAAATTACACGGGATCGTATTGATTGGTATTGCCTCTCACCTAAATGGGAAAGAAAAGGTAAAAGGAAATATCCATTACGAATTGTGTGTCCCTCTCGGAAAAAGTGGGAAGCTTGGGCCAATTCCAATTCCGGGTTCGCCCGCTCTGACCCTCTCGGCTGCTCACCACTCCGACCACCTCACTGGCGGAGCTCTCCCAAACCTACGATTTTAACTCCGATTCGGGCGGTGGTCTCGACTGTTGATTTCCCTCTTGTGATTATGCATGAGCTACTGCTCTTCGCCTCGGTCCCCGCGCACCAGCACCATGAGCTGCTACAACAGCTGGCCGGGTTGACGGCCATGCAACCCCGTCACCGCTTAGAGAGGCGTCTGATCTTCAAGGCCTATCGGAAACCAGGGCTGATCAATACCCGTGTGGGTGCCAGTCAAGACTTGCAAGGCAATGAAATGCAGCGTCTGAATAAGATGCTGAACGGTGGCATGTTCTATACACAAGTGGTCGGGCCTGTTTCCGAGACCGACTTTGGTGCCCAATCTTCCGCTGCGTCGTCATCTGGTGATCCTGATGCGCCCATGTCGGGAACTGATTCTGGTGGAAAATTTGAGCACCGTTCCTACAATTATGAGAATCAACCCTGGAAGCTGGAATTTAGAGATATCCCCGAGGCGGGGACTCGCTCCGCCGTTACCACCCGGCTGATGGCCAGCGCTAGCTTGCCCAAGGGGGATATCACCACCCCGATGAACGCCTGGGGTTATAGGTCAGTATACTATGGATCCAGCCAGTGGTATGATTGATTACGTTTACTGATTACCCGGCCAGCTTTGTCACGGAGTACGTGGTAGAGGGGGATGTCTTTATTTTGAATGATATCGTCATCTACCTACATCGAGTTCTGCATTATCCTGCAGACAGCCCTGAATCACATGAACCGCGGCGACAGTTACCTCCGTTTCAGCAGATGTCTCCGCTGGAAAAAACCGGAAGCTATGTCTTGCAGGCCTCTATTGCTGTCCAGGATGGAGGTAACCAAGAGATGATGAAGACCGCATCGCAGCATCTATTTGGACTCCGTGAACAGCTGAAGTCGGCCGTCCGGCTGGAACAGGCGGATCGACTTTCCTTGGACACACGAGCGAAGTAATCGGATAGACGTCCTTTTTGATTCTTAGGTTTGCTTAATATATACCCCGGGCAGCGCTTCCGTAGATAAATCCCTTAATGCAAATTACAAACCCCTGTGTATTCCGACTTGGCCCTTCGGGCGCCCCATGTTGCATTAGGGAGCTGCATACTTGTTAAATCATGTCGCATCCAAGGTACGATTCGCATGATTTTAATGATCGGTGTTGGTGTTGCCCAGGAGGGCAGCACCGATTCGCTTGCGGGCGGAGTATGAAGGGGGATGTGCAGAATGCTATACGCCTCGCTTCACAAATTCACTAGGAGTATACACATTGTCTTCGTACAAAGTATGTCTTCCGTGAAGATCAACGCTGGGACCGGAAAATACGACGCATACATGCATTCCAATGGTCAAAACACTAGGACCGAGCTCTCAACACAAGTGTAAGCTAGCTCTACACTGTGGACCGTGATGATATGCTCCATCCTTAGGTTATGATGAGTATATCTGTGACAGTATCATATCGGACTAGTAGGTATATAGAGGTGGTTAACTAAATAGGGAAAGGGATCCATCTACTAATCTGGAGCATGTGACTTCGTGAACCTAACGCGCGTTGCCCGCGTGTTTAGTGATGGAAGTAACTTTGTATCTTGGCTCATTTATGTCTTCATCAACCATAACGTCATAACCTGGCCCTTGATAACTCGCCAAAATTATTTCGAGATTGCAATTCACCAGAATGGCCGGCTCGGTCAAACGGCCAGCGTCTACAACTGGGGCTATCTCCCCACCCCCGGTAAAGAGAAAGATTGAATCCACACTGACTAGTACGCAAACGCTTGAATACCTTACCAGAGCTATATTCGTTCTTATATATGCTTTTTATACTAACTGATCCTACAGAACAATCGGTGTCCTCATTCTTCACCCCTACATCTCAAAAGAAGCCCGAACAAATCACCTGGCGCATCGTGAACAACAGTCTCGTTGTCGGCAAATATGCGAAGAAATCAGACCATACACAGACTACAGAGAAGCCAAAGGTTGCCGCCTTTGATTTGGTGGGGATGCATTCGCCGGGAGCATATGGACGATGTGGGAGACTGACGTGCCGTAGGACTCAACGTTAGTCTCGACGGCTTCTGGCAACACATTTCCCAAGAACTCCTCAGACTGGAAGTGGTGGCATGATACGGTTCCCTCTAGACTTAAGGAGTTGAGCGCAGATGGGTATGTGGGGTCTTCAGTCGATCGCTACGTGGTGTTCACTACTTGGGGACGCCTTGGTTAAACAGGTGCGAACTGACATTTCGCTCATCAGTTACTATGTCATCATCATATCGAATCAGAAGAAGATCAGCCTACAGAAGGATATGAAAGGAGGACGTTCCGATTCAAAAAGTCTCACCAACTTCAAAGAGAGGGCCTCTGCTGTCATGAAACAGCTAGACATTCCTCTCAGTGTTTATGCAGCTACGCTAGACGATAGTTACCGAAAACCAAGAATCGGGATGTGGAAGGAGTTCCTAGATGACTATGATTTCGACGTGAACGGCGTGGATCTATCAAAATCGATTTATGTTGGGGATGCCGCGGGACGGCCAAATGACCATTCCCAGGTAGATCGGTAGGCAACCCTCACCAGCGGTCATAGCTTAATCTGACATTACTCTCCAGTGGTTTTGCTGTAAACGCCGGGGTTCCATTTAAAACACCAGAGGAGTTTTTTCTCAACGCCGCGCCGGAGCCGCTCGTGGAATCATTCGACCCGTCTCTATATTTGCAATCTGACCAGACCGATGACGGTAAGTCGAAGTGCAGAGTCTAGCCTGCATCTGTTACGATGTTGCCTACGGCTTAAGAAAATAACATATCGCCGACAGTTTCACCCCCTTTCTCCCGTCAAAGCGCTCTCGAACTAGTGATTTTCTGCGGCAGTCCCGGCGCGGGCAAGTCGACTTTCTACTGGGATTATCTCGAGCCATTGGGATATGAACGGGTGAACCAGGACATTTTGAAGACGGTACGTTGGCAATCCGACCACGCCACACGTTTTGTCGTCAATGCATTGTTACAGGATCCCGGAGCGGAGCGTCGCTCATGCAGGGGCAGCAAGAAACGATCAAGAAAAAGGAATGCTAACAAGACCTGGCCAGCGCCCTAAATGTATTAAAGTTGCCAAGGAACACCTTGCGGCCAGAAGGTCCGTGGTAGTTGGTATGTGAACTCCTTGCATTCGTTTCTCAATTCTCTACAACAACCCCGCCGTTTGTCTTCTATCCCTAAACCACAATAAAAGCCTCAGCCACAATGAGCACCAATATGAAACTCAGACAACTAACCATCTGATTGCTCCTCCTTCGGGAGGAGACGCAAACTTCTTTATTAGACAATACGAACGCAGACCCAGAAACAAGATCCCACTGGATCGAAGTCGCAAAGGAATTCAGTATTCCCATTCGCTGCGTATATTTTTCTGCATCCTCAACTCTCTGTCGACACAATAATGCTGTCCGCGCTGCAAACAAGTCCTTGGTATGTACTTGTCCTACCACCCTTGTACCCTATTTCCCCAAGATCCGAAGTTACACAGACCCGACATATAGGGGTACAGCATCATGCGTTCTCAATATCTCTCTCTCGCCGAAACGCCTGGCTAGACCTTTGGATCTTGACAATATGTGTACCCTCTATACATACAGTTATACCCCTCCATACTGGCTGGCTAATGTGTGGATGAATATCTATTAGAATCCGGAAAGCAGGACTCTACTCCCCGGAATCGCATTCGGGGATTTCGGCCGTCGGTTCAAGGAGCCGACGATGGCGGAGGGCTTCAAGGATATAGTTCGCGTCGACTTCCGCTTCCGCGGTGATGAAGAATCGAAGAACATCTGGAGGCAGTACTGGGTTTAAACTCAGGTTGTATCCGGACTTCGTTGGACTTATTAAGACCCTGGTGTGCGGATCGCTGGGCATCTTAATGTTGCATGAGATTCATGCGAGTGACTTTCCGGGCCATTATACGTCATATCTATATACTTACGCCAAACAAGTTCTAGCTATACCTACTGTGAGATGCTTTCTGTAATCACTTCCAAATTAAAGTGTTCCCACATTAGTCATATCTGTATGAAGATGCTGGGTATAGTGCGTATTATTATATACATGTGACGCATAGATCAGGAATGCTTTTGACACGAACTTTTCCATGCGATACAATGGACGCGAACTCAATCAAACATGTCTCGGGGTATATTAAGGAATGATGTGGCCAAAACGCCGGTGGCATCCCCTCCAGAGCTCCCTCCTGCTCTCTCCCAACCTCCTGGTTTTATGCCGATTGACCAGGTGGCTTTCCCAATACTCATGCAAGGAATATTGCTGATAGGGCAGAGAACAAAGACACCATAACAGTAAACCCTGGAACCATTACACGCGCCTGTAAGGCGGCCTCCGGAGACTCCATAAATAGAAAAACAAAGGAAAAGACAGTCATACTAAGGAAGGCATTGCGCACTGCGAGTCAGTAGTCGCAGACGCAGGTCGTCAGTTGTCATTATCGGATCACAGTAAACCGGAAAGGAAGGAAAGGCATTATTCGTCACACGCTTAATCAATCATTCGAGAGGCGTAAAAGTCATTAGATGTTGTACATCGATGCCTCTCGCGGTAATTCTATAGTCATCAAGGTAGTTGGGTCCCTAGGACTAGACAGGCCAAGGGTTCTAAGATCGTGACATCAGATCCTGGAAGAATCTGAAGAAATTGCGTTTCAACGACTGACTCCGACAGAGCCCGGACCCGCTCGTGGCTGGGGCAATCTTCATGGGCCCGACAATCTCTCCATCACCTAGCTCGGGAAATTTCTCATCATGGAGACGTGGAAGCTTGATCTGCTCGCACGGGTCGCACTGAGACCCAGTGAGGTGTAGACGATGTCCTTCTGTGGCCTCTAGTTGGGAGAGCATCATCTCGTGGTGATGCTTCCATTCATTATTGATACAATGCCACTTCTCCTCTGTCAACTTGTAAATCGTCGATGTGATCCCGTAATGCTCGCCCGTTCGAACGAGGTGCTTGGTGAAGTTGCATTGCGCCAAATCCCACTGGGCGCGTAATTGACGAAAAGATTCGAGATCGTACACCTCGGGCACGTACGGCTCCGGTTGAATCGTAAAATTGGCGTGGCCAAGCTTGTTCGCCCACTCGTCGTTCGGGTCCGATAAAAGATAGGGAGGTGCATCCACCGACGCCGGTCGGACCGTGCTCGCGCGTGGGCGATTGAATGACGAGATGGACGGCCTGGTAGACAGCGGAGGCGATGGTAGGCTGGCCAGCCGCGAATCCCGGGATGCTGCACCGTCAAAAGCATCCTCCGACATGTCTGCCACGGATGGTGATTGCAAAGGGGAGTGAACTCGAGATGTCACTGGATACGTTGGCTGGTCGCCCATGAACGGAGGTAGCAGGGGGGTGGTCGCTTTAGGGCTCGCGTCATCATTGTCCTGGCTGTGACGATTTGCTTTTGCGATATCAATGGGTAGGGCGCCGGACTCGCTGAGCCGCTCCTCAAAGATCGTCCTGGCGGGTGAAGGTGGCACGGTAACGGAATTGACTCGACTGACGGGAACGATAGTAGGACCAGCAAGGATAGAGGATGCAGAATTGGTGCGAGACCTCATTGAGAAGGCATCCAACGCATCAAAACCATCGGAGCCCTGTCTAGACTTCCAACGGTTCGAGATAGTCGATATGCGTGAACCGATCCGCGACAGACCTTTGGCGGAGACACTATCTGAGCGTCTCTTTTTGGGTGAATGGAGGATGTCCATGCCGGCATCCGTGAGATTGTACTCATCCGAGTAATCGACTGAAGCAAAGTACGTGCCCTCAAACTCGGACAGATCTTGATCGAAGTGTTCTATGTTGGTCAATACAATTGTATAAGTACAATCGGAGAAAAGACTCGACAACGGGGGGCTGGGAGCAAGGGTAACAACATACGGAAATAATCTTCCTCGAGATCCCTAGCTGGGGCCCCACAGGGCTCTTCCTTTACTCCTGTCAAGGGATTCCTGGACGTAATCTCCATCGAGCTACTATGGCCCGGGGAAGAGACCAAAGAGGACACAGAGCTCGAAAAGCGAGTATGTCCTTTGGCAGAGAAGAGAGAGACGGCGGGAGAGACCGGCGTCGACGAGGTGGTTGTCAACGGTGACTGCGGTGGTTGTCGGTAGGATTCTATCATGACTTCGGCACCATCCCGCCCTTTGGTGTCTATCAGTTGGGAAAGTTTCAACATGGTGCACGATTTTAGAAAGGACGTGTTCTTGTAGAAGAGGGTTTGGAAACCAGAATAGTGAGGCTGCCTTTTCACGTGCAGAGAGTGGACGTGAGGAGAGGCGATGCGAAACGCAGGGAGGGGAGAGGGTTCGAGTTCAATTAGGAAGAAGACGCATTGTCCACTGATTTTTTTTTTCCAATACGTTTTTCTCCTATTGAGATTTCAGGCAGCAGGAAGGGAAAAAAAGGGGAAAAAAAAAAGAGGTTGACAGAGAGATCACAGCTGAGTGGATCAAAGCGTAAACAAGATGACTCTTGATTGTTTACAAGCCGGTGGGAAAAAAAAAAATATAAAAACGTGGCGTGGCGGTGAATCGATATCCAGAAAGGATTCAGAACAGACGCCCGAAGTGAAAGACCCAGGGCTTGAGTCAGGTAGAATATGCGCTTCAAACGAACTGGTAAGCGCAAGAAAAGAATCAACAGTCAGGCAGGCTGACTGGCCGGGGAAGGACAATCGCAGGCGGTAGGGCAGACAAGATGAACGACGTGGAGCACGCCAGTGGATGCCGCGCGAACAGCTGGCGGGGTGTTCGTGAGGCCCAAAGCCAAAAGGCACTTGACAGCTCAGTGCGCGCTGCAATCAATCTGGTTGGAAGCTGAGGGATGCAACAACGATCTCAAGGTTGTAGAGGTAAGGGAAGCCACGGAATCGACGGGCCGTGAGTCAATCGAGCGAGGGTTACGGATCAAAGAATCGAATTCCAGAGAGGCGATTGTCCTAAAACAGCAAGTCAAGCCAGCAACCTTTTTGGAACCTTTGGGACGAGCGGAGAGAAGAAAAGGTTTGTTGGAAATGGCACGAGAAAAGAGGAGAAAAGAGAGGGCAACACAAGAGGTCACCCGAGGCAGAGATGAGAGAAGGTATAAAAATCCAAATGGGACAACGATGTTGAAGGAATCTCGAATTCTTCATTGAATGCTCTCCTCAGACGACAAGAATAGCTATCAAATCACAAACCCTGTTCAGAGGCGAATCTCCTTCGATTAGCCAATGAAAAATCTGAGAGGGAGCAACTTTTGATATCCAACACTTGGGGGTCTTTTTTTTTTTTTTTTTTTTAATGTTTTATTTAATTTCATTCTTTTTTCTTCGGTTTTCGTTTCTCTCACATTCGTCCCCTCACCTTCTGTTTTTTTAGTCCCTGTCACAGTCAAGGATCATTGCTTCTTTTTCTCTTATCTTTTGGATTTTTGATTTTTGATTTTTAATGTTTTTGAACTTCTTTACCAATCTGACAGGCCCCCAACCGCAGGCAAGCATGTTGTTTTTCGAGAGATATGGAGGATCGTCAAAAATTCGCCCAGTTGAGTTGGCTCCGTCCAGTTCCGTGGGCGTTCAGTGGTTCCGTTCACGACCTTGCCACGGTTCTCCTCTACTTTTGTTTTTTTACCCTTCTTACTTTTTCCTTCTCTTGTTCTCTGGTTTTCGACCGGATAAAAGATGCGGTATATAGCCACTACGATCTCAGATCAGAGGAACAAAAAAGTAAAAAGTTTAGATTTGATCAAAGAAGGAAAATTATACTTTAGAGACAGGAACCGATTCCCGTCTACCCGCGAGATCCAACGGCTTCCCACCGTCATTGCCCCCCAAAAAAATTCCAGCGAAGAGGGGGACCCAGTGACGAGCTAATTGTACTGTGTAGGGTAAAAGACGAACAAAGGCCGTTGTCTAGACTCCGACGGACCTGGACTGGTCGAGCACAGGACCCCATCGGATTGACATAGCTCCAGCGGGCTGGTGGATTCCTTCTAACGCCGTGCGACCGTCATCGTCATTCTGCCTGGGACGAAAGTACCATGACCTATCAGTTCCATCGGCCAAGTCCCGAAGCCAGGGTGGTTGGACAAAGGCGCTCCCATCTCTCAGACAGGATAACGATGCATAACGTACGGAGTATATATGTACGTTCATGTTTCTGCCAGCTCCAATAATCTAGTCTTCGTTACCCAGGGTATCCTGTATGCACGTACTTTTCAACGTCTGTTACCCCCTCCATTGGATGGAGGCGGACCATAACCAAGGTGTCGAATAGAGTATCACTGGACCCTAAGATGGAGAATGTCCTCCACACCTGCCCTCTCAGGTAATCGTGTCTAGCACTATCAGTCGAGAAGTCTGGTTTGCTTGGTGACGCATCGCGCTGAGAGGCCCTTGATGCCGACGTCAAGCCCACATGGTCGGAGCCAGCAGAAGGGAACCTTCAAAATCTGGTTCAGTCCTCATGGCTGACTGACTGGGGTTGCCGGAATGAGAAACCAACCCGAGGATTTTTTCCAAACCCTAATAAAGACAGAAAGAATATTCGCCCGGGCGAGTTCCAGCTGGGGGCGGTCTTTGGTTCCAACGTGCTTGGCAACTGGTGTCAGCTTTCTAGAAAGCCGATTCCCCGAACTCGGGCATGGGACGCTTTTGCATGACAAACCTAGATCAGTGAGCTTGGTAATCACTGCCCAGCCGAGTCCGTGGATACATCAACTCGATTTATCGACAATTGTCTGTGTATACGGAGTACTGATCCTCTTGCGTTCGGCAATTGATGAAGCATATTTGATCTACCGTGTTGGTCGTACAGAACTTTGTAGTAGGGACGAGGCATAGACTCCTCAGTCAACTGGCGTTGGTTGACCGTATTCGGTCACGATTGCGCAATATGAAATGGCCGTGTTGACGGCTAACTGTACGGAGTTTAGTACCAGTAGTGGTCCCTTGCTATCGCCCAAACAGGAATCAATCCGCCAAGTTCGTATATAAACTCTCCGGCCGCACGTGACATGCATTGGACCCTCGGAAAGGAACTCCAATTCCCTGCGCCATTTACGTAGGACTCGAGATAGCATCGTCATTGTCCCACTTTTCAGTCAATATCATTCAAGTAATCATATTTACTGGACAGACAATATTCCGCCTGCCCAAAGTCGTCCCCCATGAAGTCCGTCTACTCGCTTTTGCTGAGTGCTGCCCTCACGGCGGCTTCTCCGCACCCCGCATTTCCACAGTCACCTTTGGGTGTGCCAACAACATCGTCACCATCAACAGGGACGTTCAATTCCGCTGAGGAAGTGATCAATGCCTCGCCCTTCCTATCTTTCCACAGAGATATTGTGCAGATTGAATCTATCTCTAGCAACGAGCACAATGTCGGGGAGTTCATCGCCGATTTTCTCCGCACCCGCAACTTCACCGTCATTAAGCAGGTAGTAATTTCGTCTTCCCAAACGGAAAACCAAGAGCGCTTCAACATCTTTGCCTACCCATCTTCCAATACCCCGGAAGTTCTCATTACCAGCCACATTGACACTGTCCCACCGTTTATCCCGTACTCCTTGCACACCGACTCGACAACGGACAATGACCCGTCTACGATCCGCATCTCTGGTCGCGGCTCCGTCGACGCCAAAGGCAGCGTCGCAGCCCAAGTCTTCGCTGCTCTTGACGTCCTTGAACAAAATCCCAGTGCACCCTTGGGTCTACTTTTCGTTGTCGGCGAAGAAACCGGCGGAGATGGCATGAGAGCATTCTCGGAGTCTCCACTCAACCCAGCTCCCTCCTCCTTCCACACTGTCATCTTCGGTGAACCCACCGAGCTCGCCCTCGTCTCCGGCCACAAGGGCATGCTGGGCTTCGAAATAGTCGCCAACGGCCACGCTGCCCACTCCGGATACCCCTGGCTCGGACGCAGTGCCATCTCCGCCGTCCTCCCGGCCCTCTCCCGCGTCGACCAGCTGGGCAACATCCCCGCCGACAAGGGCGGTCTCCCTTCCAGCCCGAAGTACGGCAACACAACCGTCAACATCGGCAGAGTCAATGCCGGCGTTGCTGCCAACGTCGTCCCTGCCACTGCCCGCGCTGACGTCGCCGTGCGTCTAGCCGCGGGCACCCCTGATGAGGCACGGGATATCGTCGGACGGGCCGTGCGCGATGCCACGGATGGTAACCCCGATGTGTATGCGGATTTCAGCACCCGCACCGAAGGATACCCCCCTCAGGACCTGGATACGGACGTCGAAGGATTCAACGTCACGACGGTAAACTACGGCACGGATGTGCCGAACCTGCAGATCCACGAGCGTGAGGACGGCCCCGTCCGTCGCTACCTGTATGGCCCCGGCAGTATCCATGTTGCGCATGGTGATAATGAAGCTATAACTGTTGGGGATCTGCAGGAGGCTGTTCGCGGATATCGGAAGTTGATCGAGGCGGCTTTGCAGCGTCAATAAGCTTGGTCCTCTGTCCGCGTGCGATGTTATATACCCATGCATCTCATATAGAAGTAGCCTTAGAGTCAGAGCAGATATGCCCCGGTTGCTCTAGATCGAAATATGATTGTCTCACGAAGTCTATCAACGACGGACACTATTAAGATTTTTTATCCCCAAGGAATCTTATCTATTAGTCAAAGATACAAGCATTAGGCCCAATAGCCAGAGATATAGAGGAGAATATCAGTTCAAGGTATAAAGCATACCAATCCAACGCTAAAGTGCTCCAACCAAAGACTATCCCAAATAGTACCCAAATAGCTACATATAAAACAGTGAAATTTGCATCCCTCTCAGGGAGCTTGCTCCTGCTCCTGCGGTGCTGACTGCGGCACCGATTCAGCTTCATTACCCTTTCGCTCCCATCCCGTCTTCAGCTCTCCCCCTAACTTGAACCGGGGGAATGGGTGCGCCTCAGTGTTGAAGACGTTCTCCTCGAGTGGAATGAAGTCGCGATCTGAGAAGAGTAGATAGAAGTACTTGAGGGTTTCTGCCATCCAGAAACTCTCCATGTTGTCTCTGCGGGTGGGCGGGATGACATTGACGTTGTTTAGGGAGGTGAAGCTAATGATTCGCGACCGGCTTGGTTCGGCAGGCTTATCTGATATGGGATCGGAGTGATGGTTGTCATGTCCGACGATAGCGGTGTGTCGGATGAATGACTTAAACATCTCCCACCCCAAGTGACGATAGGTTTCATCGCCGGTGATTCGGTACATGTAGAAGAGAGACTCGAGGGTCTCGGGACGTTGGAGGTTGTGTCGGTCTTGCATGTGGATGTCGAGGTCGTCTTCCCATTTGAGTGTTTTATCGTCTAACGGGTAGAGCGGCTTGGACTTCAGAGGAAGGTCTTCTTGTTGAGATTTTCGGTTGCCGGTGAATAGAGTGGACTCTGGGTACATATCTTGCATCATGACTGGGGGATTGTCCATTTTAAAGTAGGTGATTTCAGCCGCAAGACCTGTCTTTGTAGCGAGGTAGGTCGCCCAGCACGTCTTCATGAGCTCTTTGGCGAGGAGAATCTCTTCGTCATGCCGCTGACTCCAATTGGGAGACTTTTTCGCTTGCGATAGCGGTATTCCCCCGGTTGCGCCGAGCGCAATCGTTCCGGGTAAGAAGCAAACAAGGTGATCCATTTTGGGCGAGAGTTTTCCCTCTAGGCCCTCGGGCCGTTCTCCCAAAATCGTCAACTGGGCGCGCTTCGTATACGCAATCAAGTGCTTGCGGATACCAATTAGCGCTTCATCCCACATCTCCTTGTAGACCGGCTCCTGTTCCGATGTTTGGAGATACTGCTTGATGAGATATTCTGGTGTAGGAGGTGTGTCAGTTATCGGGCAATGACAGAGCAATTCTCAGAGAATACTATACCATAGTAGGAATCACCTCTACTACCGAGGCGGATGTTGTTCCCTCTGAATTTGCCAGTGTCTGGGTAGATATAGATGGGAACTAGACCATCTTCCATTTTCGACCCATCCACCACTTTCATCACGTTCTCCGCCATCCGCCAGTATTCTGCTTCCCCGGTCAATTTGGCTAAATACTTGAACTCGAGCTGCACAGTCGTCGCTTCGGCTGTAGAAGAAGCGCCATTATCCGAGTGTGCCGGTATCCCCTGCGATGTTTTGAGATTGATGCTGGCGTACGGTACCCCAGAGTTTGACTCGAACGCTCCTGATAGCCGCTCTGCGAGGTCGGTTGCCTTCTCGATATACAAGTCCTCATCGCCCGAGACTGGAGCCAGATCTGTATAGGTGGTGGAAAGGTAATGTGCGGACAAGAGACCGCCTAACATGCGAATGGTTGTTTCAAAGGTGCTAACATCATGGTCCTGATTGTATTGTAGCGAATGATGAATCCAGTCACGGGCATGCTGGACCCGTGAAGTGAGGTTCATCATTATCATCGTGTCAAGCGCGTCAACGATTATCCAGCCCAGCCCACCTTCGACCATGTTTTTGCCATCCTTAGCAACTGGACGATATTGGTCCAGCCCTGCCCAACATTAGTATATCGTTATTGGCTGCATAGGGAGCGACATCTTAAAACATACCCCACCCATTCTTCGCGTAGTCATCCCAGCTAACGATAAATGCATCCCTGACTTTCTCTCGCCTGGATGCCCAGTCGATACCCTTGAGTTCTTCACCATTGTAGGCTGGTTCCTTGTCTAAGCTCTGCACCCAATCCCAGAGCTTTTCTCCTTCCTTCGACTCTGGCGTCTTTATCTCAGAACTGGCCCAGTTACCAGACATAAAATACCACAGCGAAACTAGAAAGAATAGACAAAGTCCGCCGTAGAGAACTCTCCTCTGCCTAACTTTTGGGCCCGTGCGCCGAGGCGCAAAGTACGGCTTATCTTTGTACATGGGAAGGGTACGACCGTCACCAAAGAAAGTGGATAGATTGTTAGACACCCCAGCGGACTGCGAAAGTCCGTATCCGCCTAGCTTTGGTCCCGGGCTGCGACTCGTACGCCAGGAGTTATTCTCGAGGGGAGGCTGGGGAGACAGCGACGGGTTTCTGGGAGGGTAGTGGAAGGACATAGCCGTGGGCCTTTGTGTCACTTGTTCTAAGTCGTGTAGGATATAGGTGGCCTTTGCGGAGCCCACTCGCTATGGCGAAGGAAGTGAACAGTCAATCGGCATAGGCGCTAGCGTGCTCTCCAACTTCGTGGAGCAATGATTGTTTATTCCCTCTGTCCACCGATTGGTGTCAACTCTTGAATGAAGAGGTACAACTATCTAAAGGCAAAATTGGTCACGGGGGGGAAATAATCCCTACATGAATGAGGGAGGTAAACGTTAGAAATATTGCTTACAACCATGGTTCACACGGCAGATGAGCAGAGTAATAATGACAGGTTGAAGCTAGGTGTCAACAACTAACCAAGCGTGCAGCGTTGTACTCGATTGCCTGTTGCAACCCGTTTTGTAGCGCTTTACAGTTCGTTACTCATGAAAAAGGACAACAGAGAAATAAAATTAGGAGGTGCGCAGCACGAGGGTCGGGATTTGGGGCTGTTTGGAGTTGCGGTTTAGACAACGATTGCAATGGGGGATCATTTTTGGGATTTAAAACTATAAGAGTAAGAGGGCACGCATGAAACAAGTGGGGACCACTGGTGAATGCTGGAATTCTGCCAATAAAAATGCCTTGTCCTGAATGAGTTCGTAAGGTCGGTTGATCATAAACCACAGGGAGAAGGAATAATTCGGAGAATATCTGTCGCGCTTCATTCTCGACCTTTCATGTACACCTTCTGATTATGAACCATAGGTGTCTTTCATACATTCTACCATCGTGGAAAAGGACGACCTACCCAGTACTCCTCGAGTACGTCTTCACAAGATCCGCCCATATGCAGAGCGGAGCCAAATGGACCCTTTTGGCGGAAGTTTGTCTTTCTTGGCTCTCATACTTTGGCCACCTGGCGAGTACCCAGCTAGTATTCTTTACGAAATATCTACCTACGGTGGGTGCTAGTGGGTAGTTCGACGGCGTTTCTAAAATTTCGCCTTATTGAACGGTATTGATATACAAGTACCTTCTCCCCGTCCAAGATGGAAAATTCGATCTACAGTGGCTAGAAATATATTCGTAATCCTTTCGCAATCCCGGGAACACTCCATGGGAAAAATAGCAAAAGATAAAAAGAGATTCGCTCAAGGTAGTACTTGCAGAGCGCTCTTCACCCATTTTGCTAAGTAGCTGCGTTGCAACTATCATGAATAGTAAGCGATCTACGACCAAACCAAGACTTACATCCAACAACGAACGTGACGCGCGCCATCCTACACGGTGTAATCTCTTAAACAAATAAACATGGTGAAGAGCTCGTGAAACCGATTGCACATTATCTAAATATGACCGATTTTGTAATGTCATCCTAGGAGTATCTATGTAATTAAAGCTTCTGGTACTCCAGCTTGCCTTCCAGCTTCTTAGCTTCCGCTACCTTGCGCACCGCCCGGTTGAAGTCGTCTTGGTTGATAGCGTCCCGGTAATCTTTAATGGCAAACAAACCACTATACTCAATGTCAGAACCATCAACCACAAACAAAAGAGTAGGGATGAAATAACATACGCTTCCGTGACAACATTGCGCAGATCTGCTCCATTGAGACCGTCACTCATCTTTACGACGCTCTCAAAGTCAATATCACCCTCAAGTTGGACGGTACTGGAATGAATCTTCAAGATCTCCAAGCGACCAACTTCATTGGGAAGAGGAATCTCAATCTTGCGGTCCAAACGACCCGCTCGCAACAGAGCGGGATCAAGAGTATCAGGTCTGTTCGTAGCCATGATGATCTTCGTCTTTCCAAGATAATCGAACCCATCCAATTGGTTAAGAAGCTCCATCAGCGTCCGTTGGATTTCACGATCAGCGGATGTACCTTCTGAGAATCGTCGACCACCGATCGCATCGATTTCATCCATGAAGATAATACAAGGCTCATGCTCCTTGGCATATCCGAACATTTCTCTTATTAACCGTGCAGATTCACCGATGTACTTGTCGACGATAGCGGACGAAACGACTTCAAATGGTCAGCAAAGGCGTCCTGAATTCCCAATGAACATAATGCGCTCACCCTTCAAGAAGTTGGTCTCCATCGAGCTGGCTACAGCACGTGCCAGCAATGTCTTTCCTGTGCCAGGAGGTCCATAAAGGAGGACACCCTTGGGTGGTTTAATACCAACTCGGTGGAAAAGCTCGGGGTTTTTGAGTGGCAACTCGATCACTTCTCGTAACTCTCGGATTTGTTCGTTCAAACCACCAATACCAGCAAAGTTCACTTGTCCTGGGTCCTCCAAAGACATGTTGTATACTAATGGGTCGACCTCCCGGGGCAGCATCCGCATGATCGTCAGAGTTGTCATATCAAGGGCGACACGAGTCCCTTGTTTCAGTTTCGACTTATCGACCTTCGAACGGCAACCAACGACATAACGGGGACCGGATGATGCCTTAACAATGACTATGGTTTGAAGTTAGCCTCTGTCAGATGTAGACTGAAGCAGCCCACTGTTCATCACGAGTTTTATGCAGTTTTGTATGTTGGAAACAAAGTATTGTGGGAGCAACCACCGAATAAACGTACATCTTTCCTCATCCAGCTGCTTCAACACTTCACCGATGATCTGGCCCACACTCTGTAGGGCCTTAATGTTTTCCTCTGAGATATCGAACTCCCTTTGCAAGTCCTTAATTCCCATCCGAAGAGATTTGAGCTTGGCCTCCCATTCTCGGAGCTCCAGCAGGCTCTTCTTGTAGTCCTCGAGCGCCTGCTCTCTCTCCGGGTCAGCAGCGCCGTTCATTGTGAGACCTCACAGATGGTTCGACGGTAACGATTCGGAAAGAAAACTATAAATTCAAGGGTGGATAGGATGGAATTATAGGCGGGAGAGATAGAGATGGCAGAGATGGTGACCGCGGATGGCTCGTTGGGGTATCTGATCTCAATGCTATCACCAGCTCTAGAGGAGCTTACGGAGCCACCAAGCCATGAGGTCACCTGACTCCAATATGGGACCCAGCTAGGTCACATGAAGTTGATGCCTGAGGGATGCTGCGCAGTATCTATTATCCGGGACTGTTCAGGCACCAAGGTGTCAGCGGGTACCACATTTTCGTCATTACGCAATATGGAAATTTCCAGATAGTCTCCAATGCTACCCCAGGGCCCCAGTGATACTCTCAAAGACGCCTGAATCAATTGGCGTGAACCCTTCGGGACAGCACAGCAAAAAAATCAAATCTAGGGTAACCGGGCAAGGGATTAACCCCCAATAGACACCAATAATGATATATTAGTTGTTACCTATCATTCCTCTAGAATGACGTTTCCTCCAGCATAAACATACATACATACATACATACTCCGATGGACACCTGGACTGGTTTACCCATCAAGGCGACAATCCTCCGGTTAGACATGAAATGATCTCCTACCAAGGTACCCCAGAAACAAGAATGTGAATCTTTTAGTAACTATTAATTTACCCGCTTTACCCCGAGGGAATGCGGAAGATCTCGCGGCAGGGTTGACACAGTTGACAGAGAGCTCAGCCAGCGAGAGTCACAGAAGACTGATGAGCCCCACCATTTCATTGGAAAGATTCGGGAGGACGAGGTCGAGAGCTTTTGCCGGGGAAGAGGGCGAGGATGGTACAAGAACTAGACCTTGCCAACTTTAATTGTTGACACCTATTTAATTCTCTCCTTCTTCTTTATTTACTTTTGATTTGTTTCCATTTCTCCAACACTAGTCTACTAACTCTGTCCTCTTCTGGTCATCTCCCATAGGTGAGTTTGGTTGTTTTGTTTCCACTGAGATCATGACCTCTTACCCCACCATCCCACTATTTTGCTACGGTAGCCATGACCCCTCCATGGCAAAGAGAGACGAGGACGAGAACAGATCAGAAAACTCGATGATCGTTCTATCGTGTCTCGCCGTCATACCACAATCGTGTTATCCTGATTGACATTTCCGTTTGAATACCGTTGTAACTGTTCCTGACTCTCGGTCAACTGAAATTGGATCTCCCCACCACTGCCTCTCCCTTGTACTCCGTCACTGAGCCATCCGATCATTCTTTTTGGGTCGTCGGTGAACACAACCCCCGCTGCTAGTCTCCTCCCAACACCGATCCAGCACTGTTTTGATTTTCCATTCCCTTCGTTTATATCTGTCGTCTTCCCTCCCTCCCTTTCTCTTTTCTTCCGTCCTCAAACCAAGTCGACTGACCAATTCCTCAGCTCGTCAACATGCCTATCTCCAAGATCCACGCCCGCTCTGTTTACGACTCCCGCGGTAACCCTACCGTTGAGGTGGACGTCGTCACCGAGACTGGTTTGCACCGTGCTATCGTTCCCTCTGGTGCTTCCACTGGTTAGTTGTCCCCACTAGTCTACGGAGCTTTCCATGTACTTCCTTGTCTTCTTTCTATCATGCTGACAATCGAATCATAGGCCAGCACGAGGCTCACGAGCTCCGTGACGGTGACAAGACCCACTGGGGTGGAAAGGGTATGTACTAGATGCTCCCCGAATGCTTGTCCGGTGCAACGGAGGCTGATCGTACCGACGGAGAACAGGTGTTCTCAAGGCTGTCGCCAATGTCAATGACACCATTGCCCCCGCCGTCATCAAGGAGAACCTCGATGTCAAGGACCAGTCCAAGGTCGACGAGTTCCTGAACAAGCTTGATGGAACTGCCAACAAGTCTAACCTCGGTGCTAACGCCATCCTCGGTGTCAGCTTGGCCATTGCCAAGGCTGGTGCCGCTGAGAAGGGTGTCCCTCTCTACGCTCACATCTCCGACCTCGCCGGTACCAAGAAGCCCTATGTGCTTCCTGTCCCCTTCCAGAACGTCCTGAACGGTGGCTCTCACGCTGGTGGCCGTCTGGCTTTCCAAGAGTTCATGATTGTTCCTTCGTAAGTACTCGGGTCCAGATCATGTACCTCATTCTTCGACAGCTATTCTAACTTGGCTGATAGCTCTGCCCCCTCTTTCTCCGAGGCTCTCCGCCAGGGTGCTGAGGTCTACCAGAAGCTCAAGGCTCTCGCCAAGAAGAAGTACGGCCAGTCTGCTGGCAATGTTGGTGACGAGGGTGGTGTTGCTCCCGATATCCAGACTGCTGAGGAGGCTCTTGACCTCATCACTGAGGCCATTGAGCAGGCCGGTTACACTGGCCAGATGAAGATTGCCATGGACGTTGCTTCCAGCGAATTCTACAAGGCTGATGTCAAGAAGTACGACCTTGACTTCAAGAACCCCGACAGCGACTCCTCCAAGTGGCTCACCTACGAGCAGCTGGCCGACCTCTACAAGACTCTTGCCAGCAAGTACCCCATTGTCAGCATTGAGGACCCCTTCGCTGAGGACGACTGGGAGGCCTGGAGCTACTTCTACAAGACTTCTGACTTCCAGATTGTTGGGTATGTAGTCCACTTCCTTCCAGTGTCATATTCGAAACATATTAACATGAACTCCACAGTGATGACTTGACCGTCACCAACCCCCTGCGTATCAAGAAGGCTATCGAGACCAAGGCTTGCAACGCTCTCCTGCTCAAGGTTAACCAGATCGGTACCCTTACCGAGTCCATCCAGGCTGCCAAGGACTCCTACGCCGACAACTGGGGTGTCATGGTTTCCCACCGTTCCGGTGAGACTGAGGATGTCACCATTGCCGATATCGCTGTTGGTCTCCGCTCTGGCCAGATCAAGACCGGTGCTCCTGCCCGTTCCGAGCGTCTGGCCAAGCTGAACCAGATCCTCCGTATCGAGGAGGAGCTTGGTGACAACGCCGTCTATGCTGGCGAAAAGTTCCGCACTTCTGTCAACCTGTAAATGAACCGTATGATTATATGACGCCCACCAACCAACCTTGCACATTATCGAAAGATGGTTGGACTCGGGACCGCACTGCATGCCCGGGTTCCCGCTACTTGCAGGCTCTACGAGCTGCACAAAGCACTACAGATGATATTCTCTTAAGATTTATGATGACGATTCGATTAGGCCAGATATAGTGGCAGTAATGCAATAAAAGTGCAATTCAAAAAAACAAATGAACATTAAAATAAAGAAATAAAAGGAAAGAAGAAGAAGAAGCCCCCGATGTAGACCATCACTAGTAGCCACAGTCTACCAACATAGATATGTATCTTATAGTGATGTTGATTCCTAACACTTGATGAATAGGCCTGAACTGTATCGGTACACGTGACCTTCTCTAGCCCCACCACCAGATTGTTTTATCGTGAAGTTATTGTGAAGGACTCGCCCACATCAAACTTGCCTTCGGGTTATTGATTCGCCCACCACGACCCTCTCGTTGAGATACACGGCACTTGCTCGCCCTGTTATCTAGTCATTAGAAGTTTGAAGCTTTTACCGCTTTATACATCCTTGACTTAGCCATGGCGCCCGAACGGTGGGGTAAGGATATCTGAAATTTGTGGACTTCCGCATACAGTCTGCTTTCTTTACAACGGCACTTTACTGACAGTTCCTACTTTTCTGTTGCAGACGATGAGGAGGACAGTGCTTCCCCTCCTCCTGTGGCTCCCCGTCGCAGGTTCGATGATGAGGAAGAAGAGGAGGTGGGTAAACTTTTCTCTTCTGCTATTTTACCCCACTATATATAGCACATATGACCATCGCTCGGAAACTCAATTTGCTAATTAACTGCAATTCCCCAACAGGTTCTCGACTCCTGGGACGCCGCCGAAGACTCCGAAGTAGAGCGGGAAAAGGCAGCCAAGGCGGCCGAAGCCAAAGCTAAGGCTGAGGCTGAGGCTGCGGCAAAGAAGAAGAGCAAGTCGCAGCGTATACAGGAGCACCAGGAGGAGCGCAAAAAGAAGGCCGAGGAGGAAGAGTCCGAGAGCGAGGATGAGGACGATTCCGACAAGAGAGCCCGTCTGCGCCGCGCCCAGAAGGATGCTGATCTCAAGCACGCCGAGGATCTGTTCGGTGATATCGACCTTAACCGGAACCGCGGAGCTCCCAAGGCTATCGTTATTAGTGACTCGGCCGACCCGACGCAGGCCGTCGATCTCTCTGCCATGCCTCTGTTCAAGCCTACTACTAAGGACCAGTTCGCTCGTTTGACTTCCACCCTTATCCCCCTCCTGACTCCCCATTCGAAGAAGCCTCACTATTCCCTGTGGGCGCAGGAGTTCGCTAAGCAGCTTGTCAAGGAGCTGAACAGTGCCGATGTCAAGAAGATCGCTAGTGCTATGACAACTATGAGCAACGAGAAGATGAGAGAGGAGCGCGCTGCTGACAAGGGTAGCAAGAAGACTAAGGCGGCCAAGACGAAGGTGTCACTGGTTACTTCCAGAGATAACAAGCTTGATGCTGATTATGATAATGGTGATGATGGATTGGGTGACGACGATTTCATGTGATTGATCATTTCATCTCATTTTATTATTTCCGTTTTATCTCATTTCTTTTTTTATTCCTTCTGTGCTCTCATAGTTGCCAGTTCCCTGTCAGTATGACATGATACCTGCCGACTCTTATACATCCGCCCTTAAGCAGTTCCTTCTCTTCTCTCTCTCCCTTGCCTCCTCATCTGGTAGTATATATTAATACGATAGAGACGTGCTTTACTAGCCCTGCCCTAGTATGTTTATTTATTTATTTTTTTGGTCATCTTGAGCGACACAAGTTAAAGATCGATAGAGGAAACTTTTCAAATACAGAAAACTCGGAAATCGTTCCTACCACGCGGGAGTTTGTGTATACTGCCAAGTTGTCGCTGAAGAAAAGCGTATTCAACTAGCTTGCACATAACAGCTGGCTGGTAGGCATTGAGCTCATACCTTGAAGCTTAGGTGTTTTACATGTTTTCCAGTAAGCAATTACTGGGCGGAACTTTACCAGCTTGAGGCATGTCTGAGAGAACAAGAACAAAGAGGGAGTCTATGAGAAGCAGGTTCAGACTATGTGATGAAAACGATCACTGTACCACAAGTGTGTATGGTATTTCTAACAATGATACCATCGAACTAAAAAGACGGGGTATGTTTCATCCTTCAGGGCGTCGACTCTATAAAGTCGCACGTCTTTGAGTAGAACGACTACTAAGTTTAAATTCAAATATTCGCGGGGCTTATGGGATGATGTACGAGAAAACAGTAGAGATAACGCGGGCAAGCAAGCACAGAAAAGAGAACAAAAAAAGGGGGGTGGAATAACACGTTGTATCTTGCTCTGGGGGTTGGGAATAGAAACAGTAAAAGAGAGATAAATTCCGCTCAGCCCCTTTTCTTCGCTCTCCAAATATCAAACTCCGCCGGCCGACCCACACGATCCCGAACAAGTAGAAGATACGTGCCGGTCCAAACCAGTCACGCAGCTAAAACAGACCATCGTAAACACTTCCAGGGAGAATCCGAACCCTCTCCAAATAGGCGCCGAGCGCACAACGCTGTTTTTGATACAAAAGAAAACGTCCAATTTGTCGCTTTAAGACTCAGGGGCGGCAGGCTTGGATTCCTCACCCTTGTCCTCGGTAGCAGGGGCAGACTCCTCTTCAGGCTTGTCTTCCTTGGAAGCACCCTCAGGCTCCTGGCCATCGGAAGAGGTCCAAAGAGTAAGGTTGTCACGCAGAAGCTGCATGATAAGAGTGCTGTCACGGTAGCTTTCCTCCGAGAGCGAGTCAAGCTCGGCGATGGCATCATCGAAAGCCTGCTTGGCAAGGTGGCAGGCACGATCGGGCGAGTTCAGGATTTCGTAGTAGAACACGGAGAAGTTCAATGCAAGACCCAAGCGGATGGGGTGAGTGGGAGTGAGGTCAGTCTGGGCAACGTCGGTGGCATTCTAGTCCAAATTGTAAGTAGGAGCTTCATCGAGAGAACAACCATCAGGCATACCTTGTAGGCCTCGTGAGCAGCAGTAGCGGCAACCTTGCGCTTGTTGCCAGAAGCAAACTCAGCGAGATAACGGTGGTAGTCGCCCTTCCTATTCATCGAATGTGATTAACCGCATCATTCATGGAGCGTTCCCAGAGCCAACGGGCTTACATCTTGTAGTAGAAAACCTTGGACTCGCCGGTCTCGGCCTTGGGGATGAGAGACTCGTCCAGAACGTCAAGAACATCCTGGCAGACCTTCTCCAGCTCGGTTTCGATCTTCTGGCGGTAGTCACGGATGATCGAGACGTGCTGCTCAGAACCCTTGGACTCCTCCTTCTGTTCAATGGAGGAGATGATACGCCAGGAAGCACGGCGGGTACCGACCACGTTCTTGTAGGCAACGGAGAGAAGGTTACGCTCATCGACGGTAAGTTCGCCTCCAATCTGATGCGGGGTCAGCAAAGCAAGAAAAGGGGTGTGGAGGAAGCGATCTCAGGGTGCAAAGCGGAATGGTTACATACGTTGGCGACTTCCTGTTAGATAATTAGCGGTCGCGTCTTAAATAACTGATACAACAAGTGTTTAGTAGGCTGCTACTCACCTTCATGTACGTGACCATCTCTGTAAAGATAGGGAATTAGTATACAGGGTACCGAGGTCCGGCCATTCATGGGATCTTACCATCGTAGCGCTCAGCCTGCTCGCAAAGGCGGGCGAGGAATGTCTTGCTGGAGAAAGGGGGTTAGTATCTCCGTTATCTGCTATTGATTGAGTCGGTCTGGACCCTTACTTCTCACGCTGTGAATGAAGAAATATTGTTAGTATTGATCTACTTTATTATAAAGACCATGTCAAAGACGATAGAGAGTTTCCAATAGTGAGATACATGCATCGGCACGTCCAGCCGCTATCGCAGCAGCACGAGGGTAGAAAACAATAGAAGAGGAGGGGTCAGGCTGGAACAACATACCTCAGAAGTCATGCTGGAAGATAGGGTACAGATAGGAGGATTACAAGACAGAGTACGGTGGTTGAAAGGAGTTGATAGGAGAAGAGAAAAGAGGTGTGGGGAAAGAAGAGGACAAAAAGACAACACAGATGGAATGGGGATGTGGAATTCACTAGAGGTTTGACAGATGCGATCCTCAAGCAACAGATGATGAACCGGTGAGGTGACGGCCTGCCAGCTTTAGCGAGAGGCGGGCGCGGCCTACTATTGTTTGTGATGTTTGGCCGGGGATGCCCCCAGGCGCCTGAGGCAAGCAGGGCCCAACAGGGACTGTTCTGCCTGAGGCATGAAAGACCCTCATCCTTATTGACTGGACTGTGCGATAGCGCATCCGCTTTGTATTATCCATCTAATGTATTAACTACCTGAAATGTGATGTCAGACCAGACAAATTTGGGTGTCCTAGCATGAGCTACTTCAATTCATTCCGCATTATAGCACCCTCCGCCTCTCCGGGATGAATGTGTATGTACCCGTTCATGAAGGCTTTGGCAACTATCAAAGTGAACCTCATGCGGGCTGCGCAAAGATCAATTGTTGAGACTGAAGCCTGTGCTGACTGCATCTGGCAATAAGTTTGACAGAAAAGAATTGATGATTGTTGGGCTGTGCCTATATGCCTTTTCAATCGTACATACATATAACACTTCTTCTAGGCATCTGAAGCTCGACATGCTGAGGCACAGAAGCAGCCCAGTTGGCAAGAGTAACCAACAGTGATAGATGAATAAGTATGCTGAAGAACGAGAAGAAAAGGGGGTGGCTAAAACGAAGTCCAATCTATGATATTCCGTGCGGTTGTCGTAGGTTGTGATTACCAACCTTTGAAAGGTGGCAGAAGTGATTTCTCCCCAGACGAGTCCCCTGAGATAGGTCAGAAAGGGACCTAGCAACGTAATATCACTCTACCATCCCCATAGCCATACACCGTACTCTGGAGTCTGCAGTGATTGACCATTTAGTATGCATATCGGAGTACTAGGCACTCTAGCCCAGGGCATGGGCCCCATCCACCCTCTTGGAGACATCCATGGATGGCTCCAGGGCCGAGCATGGGTCTTGGGGCAAGGCATCAACATTTCTGAATGTGGAGATCGGCCCGATTCAATACACGTATTTTACAACAGTATTGTACCGTACATGCATACATCCCTCGCCCTCCACACGTCTAGACTACTTCCACCATGAGATATTTCTAATATAATCTTGGGGTTTAGCGGGATAATGAGATTCGTACGAGTACCGACGAAATTTCCAGTATGTTGACTTTGCTGTTGAAAAGCGATGAGAAACAGGTTGACGCAACAAAGTAGCGGTCATGCTGGGTCATCCGCCATATGTGGTTATTTTACCGTTCAGCCCTGTAGGCTTATTTTGGTCCACTGTCAACCAGACAGTCTTTGCGGCGGCGAAACGGGACCAATGGATCCAAAGACCCATGGCAGCAGACCGCAAAAAGAACACGTTTGAATACAGGGACACCGATAAATTATTATCGACTCCAGGTACTTATCCACTCTCTCGGCTTCAAAACGCACGTCTTAACCCGGAGGCCAATTTCCAGGTTAATTCTTTCTCCCCCCCCCCCGGGTCATATCACCTTCGTTATAATTATCACAGTTATTATTATCCCGACTAAACGGTGTTGTTATCGATCAAGGCGGCAAAAACAGAGGTTGCCGATTTTCTTTTCTTTTCTCCGCAATACACTTCGGAGCACGGCTATCTTTCCCTCCCTTCTTCTAGATTCTTCCCGATAGTACCTTACCAGTACTCGTTTCGTTACCAATCATCCGGCCACTTGGCGTTCATGTCTTGATCTTTAGCATCTGCGAACTTTTCTCCAAACCTTTCTCCTCTCTTTTCCTCCTCCCCTTGCTCCCAACCCTAGTCAAACCCTTGACGGTTGTGGTTCATCATGGAGCATTCTTACCTCTATTCCCCAAAAGAGGTGCTGGAACACTTTAGTGTTTCAGAGCACTCGGGTCTATCGCAGGAACAGGCGTTGAAGGCCAGGGAAAAGCATGGAGCAAATGGTTAGTCACAAAGATCCAATGTTCGAATGAAAGCACAAACTGACTCAATCTCATCCTTCGTGTAGCGCTTGCGGAAGACCCTCCCACCCCCCTTTGGGAGCTCATCCTGGAACAATTCAAAGATCAACTGGTCCTCATTCTTCTAGGCTCGGCTGCGCTCTCTTTTGTCTTGGCTCTTTTTGAAGATGGGGACGATTGGACTGCCTTTGTTGACCCTGTTGTTGTGAGTCCTGAACATATTTAGTTCATTGCTTTGTTAGAAAAGCGCTGCTAACCTTTGCTACGACCATAGATCCTGACGATCCTGATCCTCAATTCTGTCGTTGGCGTGACGCAAGAAACCAGCGCGGAGAAAGCAATTGCTGCACTCCAGGAATATTCTGCGAATGAGGCTACTGTAGTTCGTGATGGGAAAACTCAGCGTATCAAGGCCGAAGACCTGGTTCCTGGAGACATAATCCATATCGCGGTTGGAGATCGTGTGCCGGCCGACTGCAGATTGATTGCAGTCCATAGCAACAGTTTCCGGGTCGACCAAGCTATCTTGACGGGCGAGAGTGAGAGCGTTGGCAAAGATACTCGCGCCATTCGCGATAAGCAGGCTGTCAAGCAAGATCAGACCAACATCCTCTTCTCGGGTACCACAGTGGTCAATGGGCACGCTACAGCCTTGGTTGTTTTAACCGGCGGATCAACTGCCATCGGTGATATCCATGATAGCATCACGTCTCAGATCTCGGAGCCAACACCATTGAAGCAGAAAATTAACGATTTCGGTGACATGCTTGCCAAAGTGATCACAGTCATCTGTATTCTGGTGTGGGTAATCAACATCGAGCACTTTAACGACCCGTCACACGGCGGCTGGACCAAGGGAGCTATTTATTACCTCAAGATTGCGGTTTCTCTTGGTGTGGCTGCCATTCCCGAAGGCTTGGCTGTTGTAATCACTACTTGTCTTGCTCTCGGTACTCGTAAGATGGCCAACAAAAACGCGGTGGTTCGGTCGCTTCCTTCTGTGGAAACCTTAGGAAGTTGCAGCGTTATCTGCTCAGACAAGACTGGTACTCTGACTACTAATCAAATGAGTGTGAACAAGGTCGTCTACCTGGACAAGACTGGCAACAGTGTTCAAGAGATTGATGTCGAAGGCACAACCTTTGCACCGGAGGGCAATCTTTCCCAAAATGGCAAGGCCTTGCAAAATCCCGCGGTTAATTCCTCCACTATTCGACAGATGGCCGAGGTCATGGCTATTTGTAACAGTGCGAATATCTCTCACGATGCCAAGAGTGGTGTCTACTCCTGTATCGGCGAGCCGACCGAGGGAGCCTTACGCGTCCTGGTTGAGAAGATTGGAACTGACGATGCCGCTACCAATGCCAAAATATCCCAGCTCCCTACATCTCAGAGACTCCGTGCTTCGAGTGCCTATTATGAGAGTCGCTTGCCGCTGAAGGCAACTTATGAGTTTTCTCGCGATCGAAAGAGTATGTCTGTCCTCGTTGGCACTGAGAAGAAACAAAGTCTTTTGGTTAAGGGTGCTCCTGAATCCATCCTTGAGCGATGCACCCATGTTCTCCTGGGATCTGATGGGCCCCGTGTACCTATTACTAAAGAGCACGCCAATCTGCTCTCTGCTGAAGTTGTTGAATATGGTAACCGTGGCCTTCGTGTGATGGCTTTGGCCCGTGTTGATGATGTGGGAGCCAACCCCCTCCTGCGCAACGCCCAGACTTCCGATGATTACGCTCAATTGGAACGGAACATGACCCTCATTGGCCTTGCCGCCATGCTTGACCCCCCGCGCCTCGAGGTTGCTGATTCCATCAAAAAGTGTCTTGCCGCTGGTATTCGGGTGATCGTTATCACCGGTGATAACCGAAACACTGCTGAGGCCGTCTGCCGCCAGATTGGTGTCTTCGCTGAAGATGAAGACCTCGCCGGTAAGAGTTTTACTGGTAGGGAGTTCGATGACCTTTCTGATAGTGAAAAGCTCGAGGCTGTTAAGACGGCCTCGCTTTTCTCTCGGACCGAGCCCAGCCACAAGTCTAAGTTGGTCGATCTCCTTCAGTCTCTGGGCCATGTGGTCGCGATGACTGGTGATGGAGTCAATGATGCGCCTGCCCTGAAAAAATCTGATATTGGTGTAGCTATGGGTACCGGTACCGATGTGGCTAAGCTGGCTGCCGACATGGTGCTGGCAGATGACAACTTTGCTACCATCACTGTTGCTGTCGAGGAAGGAAGATCTATCTACAGCAACACTCAGCAGTTCATCCGGTATCTTATCTCCTCTAACATTGGAGAAGTGGTATCGATCTTCTTGACGGCGGCTTTGGGTATGCCTGAAGCGCTGGTACCCGTGCAGTTGTTGTGGGTTAACTTGGTCACCGACGGTTTGCCTGCGACTGCTCTGTCATTCAACCCACCTGATCATGATGTGATGAGACGCCCCCCTCGTAAGCGTGATGAGCCCCTTGTTGGTGGCTGGCTACTATTCAGATATCTGGTTATCGGTACATACGTCGGTGCTGCCACCGTCTTTGGCTACGTTTGGTGGTTCCTTTACAACCCCGAAGGGCCCCAGATTTCGTTCTGGCAACTGGTAAGCTCAACAACAACCCTTAAAACTCTCCCTTGTACGCATTATCCTGTACTGACCCCGTCTGCAGTCTCATTTCCACAAGTGCTCCGCACAGTTCCCCGAAATTGGTTGTGAGATGTTTACGAACGACATGTCTCGTTCTGCTTCTACGGTTTCATTGTCCATCCTGGTGGTAATCGAGATGCTGAACGCTATGAATGCCCTGTCGTCTAGCGAGTCCCTGTTGACCTTCGCTCTCTGGAACAACATGATGTTGGTCTACGCTATCATTCTCTCGATGACATTGCACTTTGCCATCTTGTACATTCCATTTTTGCAGGGGTTGTTTT